ATGGAGCGTGACAACCATTCCGGGGGAAACCCCCCTCCTGCCGAAAAACGTCCACTGGGGAGCGATACTACACCGCCGTACTGATTAGACGACGCGTCCGACGACGCTATCGTGACGGAAACGTCGTAGTGTCGCGATTTATGCCACGGCCCCTCCTGTGACGTGGACGCTAGGTTGAGCCATATGCGCAGCTCCGCGCGGAGATCATGCTTTTCGTTTAACTGAATCACGCGGCTCTTAGTTTTCTCAATCGCTGCAAACATGTAGTGGGTCCAAAGACACGCTGGCCTAATCGCCACAGACATGCTAACGCATTTTCCCGCGATCTTCTGCAGCCTTTGTACCGACACCGATCCGTCCGCTAGCACTTTCCTGATGAGCGCATGAAGCTTGCATAGCTTATCTTCAGGAATCCGATAGGAGGTGGTACGTGAATCGCATAAAATGCCCAGGTACCGTTGCTGCTGCGACGGGTAAAGATCACACTTTTTGATCGACAGGAAGTATCCGCACTTAAACGAGACTAATATATCGATGTGGAGAGCTTCTGCCGCTGACAACCACTGCACGCGGTCTGACTTCCCAAACGTGGCTACAAAATTCGCGTACCATGCATCATCAATGTAAGCCAGCACCGGTATGCCCCGGGAGCGTAGGTACGCCGCCTTAGCATCGCTCAGGGAATGGTAGCACAACGGGCTCTCGTTCCATCCGAACGGAAGAGTAGTACACACGTAATCCACGCCTCCGTAGTGTACGCCGAAAAGTGGCCAGCTCTCGGGCTGCAAACTCAGGTTGTGAAAGCCCGCTCGATCATCGAGGCTCCCCATGAAGACCCCCTCTTCGGCCACCCGCGCTACTCGCGAAACCGTGTCCATCGTAAAAGGTACGTGTCTACAGCACTTGTTGAGTGGGATGCCGTTGATAATCATACGTGGTTTGGTGGGCTCGACCGAAATAGACAGCACCAACCCTGGTCTATCCGGGCCATTCGGACCTTTGACATCAGCCCACCGAGCCAAACAGCCGCGCTTAACCAACTGTTGCACTTCGAGTCGCACAAATTCCGCATGCTCGTCGGGGATACGGTTGGGGAATACTGCTCCTGGGAATGCTTCCACGCGATACGCTTCGTTACGCGAACGCCCGCGGTATTCCTCGGTGAGGAAATCGAAGACGCTGACGCCGTCGCGTAGATACGACATGAGTGTGTGCCTATCGGGATGGTCTCTGAGGACAACCTTATCCCAAAACTCGCAGCTATGATTCAAGCCCCCCGGAACGAAAGCTTCGCCATTCTCGCCGGCGTCTCGTACGGGAGCTTCCCACGGCAAGCGTGTATGCTTCCCTCCTCTCGGTGCGCGTTCTACGTCGGCCACAGTGGGTACATCGTCTACGCTCGGTTTCGATCGTGGTCCCACCCACCCTTGTTGTTCATCGGACAGGTCTGGGGCCTCTGGAAACGTAACTCTTACTTGCGCATGTCGTTGCGCTAGATTCGTCTTCCAACTGTCGGCGCATAACTCGATGTAGAAACACACGATACCACGGTGTACATACATAGTATGGGCTATCATTGTGGCGACGACAACCAACCCTCCGTTTTCAATATGGGCGTAACATATGAGGTAAAGTAAAAGTAAGAGTATGCAAAGCGAGCGAAGTTACGATGCACTGTGACCAGACGGATCCACCGAGAGACATGGCGGGAGCAAGGAAAGCAGATACAACGACACTCCGGGCTGATTATCGCAGTAATGCATGCCTATGACGATATCGCTAGACGTGGCCCTATCGCATACTCAGCGTGAAAGCCAACTGCGAATGTGATCGCTCAGCGAAGGTTGAAATGTTCTGCAATTGTCGCGGCGAGTGTTGCAATGGTCTGCAAACGTCAATAGCGTGGCGAAATGTTGAATTAATCGGCGAAAACCGCATATCGAGCGAACACCAATAACGAAAATCGAATATCGAGAGAACATCAAGAGCCGAGGTCGTTCGTACCACACTCAGCCCCCCTTCACGAGCGAACGGCTCGGTGTTGTCGCCCCTCAAGGACACACATGTCGCGTGGGCCCTCACCCGGCCTATCGCGATCGCACGAAACACGGAAATGGCTCCATCCCTTCGTAATAAGATGCTCCGCAAAACGCCAAGCGAACAAGACCCTACATGGAACTCTGCTTCCGTCATATAGAATTCCCGCGAGCGTGACACTCAAACCCAACGCCGTGGTCAGGATACGAAATCCAACAACCGAGGACTCGAATACGATTACGGTGGAGCCCACGGACTCTGGCACGCGTTAAACNTAGTGACTTTGGGACATGCCTGCCGGCGGCGTCCCGGCTACCCCTGGCCAAGCTACACGCCCCCGACCTCCCCCGGCTCGACCGGCCGGTCCCGGGGTATAGTGCCCCTCCCCTGCCCCTGACCCCGTGGGCTGGGCGGCGGCCGGCGCCATCTGCACCCTCTGCTGCCGGCGAGATTGCCGAGGGGCGCGCGGCGCAGTCCCCAATCCGACAGCCATCGGTGGCGGTTGCTGCATCATCCCGAAGGGTTGGGCGACGAAGCCCAGAGCCCCACTACCAACGGCTACTTGGAACGGGCTAGGAACGGCCTGTCCCAAAAAGGTCGGCGTCGGCCCCATAGCGAGGGCGTTACCGACTTGACTACCGCTGGTGATACCCATAAGCTGCCGAACCTGTGCTACATCCGCTGAGTGCAACTCGTTGTTGACCCCGTGGGCTTTGCGAAGGAGAGCGGTGAACATTTTTAACACCGCCCCAGGCGCCCCTGCACCCATGGACGGCGTCATCGTATGGACGAGACGATCGCCCCTCGCGATGGCGTCGTTGATTACTTGTTGTGTTTCGGCCTTTTCTCCCACGGCCCTCATGATGCTATGCGCTTCCGTCAAGCACGCCCGCAGGTCCTGCCACGTATTCCTGTTGCTGGCATTGCGTGTAACTTGCGTGACGGTCAACAGCGCCGCGCGGACCTGGAACGGAATAGGTCGCACCGAATATGTGCATCTGTGGTGACGCATAAGGCCTAACGTTGGCGAGAATCATGCGTACCGCACGGGTAATCGTAGGTTCGAACGCACGGGACTTCGTCGTTTCGAGGGGTGTCTACCCACCATTCGCAATAATAGACAATCAACGCGGGGACCGTTACTTCGGTGATTTCGTTGTTTCGAGTAATGGCTCAACGAGCCCGCATTCCCACTATTAGCAATAATAAACGACGAACGCGTGATCGTGACTGCATGGATGTCGTCGAGGAAAGGCCTAACGAGCACGCATCCCGATCACTCGCACCACGCACGCAATCCGTAAATAAACGTCCTATCGCAGAAGAGATCTAAACGGACTCCGTGTACGCACGTAAATAATTTGCCTTACTCGATAGTAACAGCAAACGCGTCACCTGTTACGGCGGTGATTTCGTCATTTCGAAGGATGGCTTCACGAGCATGCATCCCCACCCTTCGCAATAATTAGCCTCAAGCGCGTTGACCGTTACTGCGGTGGTTTCGTCGATTCGAGGGATAGCTTAACGAGCACGCATCCCAACCACTCGCAATAGGCGCGCAATCCGTAAAATAAACGTCATATCGCGTAAGAGATCTAAACGGACGTCGTAAACGTACGTAAATAATTTTGCTGTACGAACGCGTCACCCGTTACGGCGGTGATTTCGTCATTTCGAAGGATGGCCTCACGAACATGCATCCCCACCATTCGCAACAATTAGCCACAATCGCTTTCACCGTTACTGCGGTGGTTTCGTTGTTTCGAGGGATGGCCTAACGAGCACGCATCCCAACCACTCGCAGGAGACGCGCAATCCGTAAGTAAACGTCATAATCCGTAAGAGATCTAAACGGACTCCGTGTACGTAAATAATTTGCCGTCCTCGATAGTAACAGCAAACGCGTCACCCGCTACGGCGGTGATTTCGTCATTTCGAAGGATGGCCGCACGGGCACGCATCCCCACCATTGGCAGTAATTAGCCACAAGCGCGTTGACCGTTACTGCGGTGGTTTCGTCGATTCGAAGGATGGCCAAACGAGCACGCATCCCAACCACTCGCAGTAGGCGCGCATAACTGCGGTGGTATCGTTGTTTCGAGGGATGGCCTAACGAGCACGCATCCCAACCACTCGCAATAGGCGCGCACTCCATAAAATACACGTCATATCGCGTAAGAGATCGACGGACGTCGTGTACGTACGTAAATAATTTTGCTGTACAAACGCGTCACCCGTTACGGCGTTGATTTCGTCATTTCGATTGATGGCCTCACGGGCACGCATCCCCACCATTGGCAATAATTAGCCACAAGCGCGTTAACCGTTACTGCGGTGGTTTCATTGTTTCAAAGGATGGCCGAACGAGCACGCATCCCGACACTCGCAGTAGGCGCGCAATCAGTAAATAAACGTCATATTGCGGAAGAGATCTACGAACGTCGTGTACGTACGTAAATAATTTGCTGTACAAAGGCGTCACCCGTCACTACGGTGATTTCGTCATTTCGAAGGATGGTCTCACGAGCACGCATCCCCACCATTCGTAATGATTAGCCACAAGCGCGTTAACCGTTACTGGGGTGGTATCGTTGTTTCGAGGGATTTTCCAACGAGCACGCATCCCAACCACTCGCAGTAGGCGCGCACTCCGTAAATAGACGTCATATCGCGTAAGAGATGGACGGACGTCGTCGTCTTCGTACGTATTGTAAATATTTTTCTGAACGTAAATAATTGCCGTTAGTATGTTCCAGACTGGCACCGTATCTCATCACCTGCATAATACATACGCGGTATGCTTGAACCAATAACATCTGCTTCAAGTTTCCGAGCTATCACCCAACGATTACCTCGCAAAGTAATGTATAACGAAAACAGGTGCAATTGCTCTTGTGTGGATAGTAGCATATAATTTCGAGCGACGAAGGACGTACTTACCTTCACAATCGATTTGCGTAAAATTATTGTGGCACGAAAGCAGTTGCAGCTGCGAGCGGCGAAGAGGAAACGCAAAACAAATTTTCCTGTTCGTCTTACGAGTATCGTTATCAACGCCGGCGCTCACCTCCTGGTCGAACTCGGTCGAATTGAGGAGAGCCATGTACTCCGCGTTCGTTGCTAGCATTACCTTATGGTTGGCGGCTTTCTGCTGCTGTGCCGTCGTGGAGATCGATGCCGAGGCTGCTGCAGCGGCCGCTGCTGCCGCTGATACGGATCCCGATTTGTCCGCAAGAGCTGCCGCCGGGGCAGGTGCAGCTGCCGCTCCCGTTGTCGGTAGGACAGGTGTTGTCGCCGGGACCGACGCTGCAGGTGCCGGTGCCGGAGCCGGCGTCGGCGCCGGTGCGGCCGCTCCAACTCTCCTCGCGGGCGCCTTGCCTGACGAAGGCGCGGCTGGTAGCACAATGCATCCCGCCGTCTCCTTGACATGTTCGCGCATCAAATCGATAATCTCGCCCATAAACGCCCGAGCTCCGATCACCTGCTTGGCCGCCAGCGAGCCAGTCGCCCCTTTCTCCTGAACGTCCGCGCTGCGAAAGAAGTCGGTCACCTCCATGGCTGTACCTACACCCAGCACGGTCACGAGGGGCAGGGCCATAGCGAACATGCCGGCGCGGTCCTCGCCCTCGATAGAGGCCCCAGCCGGCGTACACACCCGCGCGAGGTTAAGAACCGGCAACGAGCCGATCGTTGTGCTGCTGTCGTAGCAGGCGAATTCCTTGACGGCCTTCGCCGAGTCGACGGCCGTGGCCGCGGCCAGCTGAGCTTCGGTCAGCTGCATGGTAGTATGCTGTTCTTCCTACCGTACTCTCCCTCCGTTAGGGTTGGGAAGGCTTGTCACGAGTGGGTGCTCGCTCCAAGCTTCTCTGCAGGCAATATGTTCTCATCTGCAGAACCCCTTCACGGTTCCATGATTTCGACATTATTTTACAACTTGTCGATACGCCGAACAATTGTGGATGTGTTCGGAAGGTGTGGGTAGACTGGGGCCAGAATAGATGGGACGAACACACGCACACACAGCTAGTCATCTAGCTGCTCATGACTGTTGAATCTTGGGAGTGTACGATTATCAAATTGGGAGATGCAGCATACCACGATATCCTGGCTTCGGCTGGGCTTGAAATAACCCTTTTGCTGTCCTCCGCTCTTTGCATCAGTGGCTTCCTAGATTCGAGCGAGGGCATTTGTGTAGCTGAGATGTGTGTCTACGTGAAAGAATATGTAGAGAGAGTCGTATTGGCATTCGCATCAAGCGCATTGCGCTTTTTTCGAATTTTGGCCCCCTTCCAGGGACCTTGATTTTTAACCGCTGGCACTTACGTCTTTTAATTGGTCAGCGGGTTAGCGCGGTCGATGCTAATAATAAAAACACACACACACGTCCCCACGTCAGCCCGGGAGGGCAAGCTGTTGTACTTACGTACAGCAGTAGCCTAGATTTAGCTGGTACAGCGTCCGACAAGTCTACAGGATCCGGCATAGCAGTCAGTGCCTGCCATCTATATTGTGAGGAAGGCACCAATCCTTCCCTGCGCCGCAATGGACTGGTCAACCTCGTAATCATCAACATGCCAGTAGTTGATGTGGAGTGTCCAGGTTCAAGTTCGCTCTCTTCTCTTGTCTGGGGGGGAACGCGTATGCAGTGGAACACCATGCAACAACGAGATATGTTGCGGTTACATCGTTACGGTTGATAGGAGTTGCACCTTTGGGAGAAGNGGCTAGGATTGCTCAGCCCCCCTGCTTGACTTCTCCATACTACTTCTCCTTGCTTGCCCTGAGTTAGCAATAATTAACAAGCGAATACCGTATCCACGACCGGAGACCTTCCACTCCTTGTCACAAGCCAACTTCAGCCTAACACTTCTACCGCTGTTCCTGTTCATCTACCGAACTCGGTACAAATCGAGAGGCAGCTACCATTTGGTCGGTAGCAGTGCCTGTAGGCTGGGGTCCCATGTGCAATCCTCTGTGGACAATTCCTCTTGACACCCAGGGTCCTGTCACTTGAATTGTAAGAGACCACACAGACCCACACAGACATTGGGCCAGCCCCTGTCCCTAGCCTCTCCATCCGTTTTATGGTGTCCAATCCGAGAATCGAACTCGGGTTTCCACAGCCACAATGTGGTGTACTGACCACTATACTAATTAGACCCTCTCCATCCGTTTTAGATAGCGTTTGGAAGCGCTTCCTGCTATGAGCCGCACTAAGACCGAGTCTTCTTCACCTTTCATTGGTCCGGCAATCATCACTTGCGATGCGACAGAGTGATATCCAAGACAGACATACAAAATGATACTCCTACATATTTTTCGAATGGGGGAAGGCAGGGGGCGTCTGAACAGGGTAGAGCGCAGGCTATTCACTGAGCTGAGCTAGGCGTTGGCGTGTGTGATGCGTTACAGTGCGGCGCTCGCTAGCAGGCTTTCGTCGAGAGCATTTCTGCGCAGAAGAGTTAAGTAACAGCGAGAGACAGGGCCGAGGCCAAAAGCGGGAACTCGTTGAGTCCTTCAGGCCCAAAACATCCACATATCTCCGGAGATCTCGGAGATCTCGAAGATGCGTATTGCGCCGAGTACACACGAATATATGGTACCAGAGTGCCGGCAACTGCGCTCAGCACTCTTTCCGCCATGATTATTTAGTACCAAACTCCAAGCCTGGCGGGATTTGGTGTGAGGTCATGAGTGGATGTGTCACTGAATGTGTGCGTGATGCGGGGATATTACGCCTTGTGTATGGAACGGGGGTTAATATTGTCTTGACCTTGATTGAGCCTCCCACACAATCTGATATTTATGTGGCAATGGGATGGCCGGTTCAAATCCGGCAGTGACAGAACACATGCCTATCTTCGTGGTGTACGTCCCTCCCAGTCGGTTAAGAGCTCGGCAGCCAAGAAATTGTGACCCACACAACAACATTCTTCATCAGAGACCTTAACCGTTGGACCAGGTGCGTACTCAGTTAAGAATCCCAAACTCCACCCTGCGTACAGAGTGAGTCGATGCTGAGGTACCCCACAGAGAAAGCTGTTAAATGAGCCAAGGGCAAAACAAGAGCGAGCGCGTGCGGGCGCCATCTGTATCTTGACTATAAGTATTTAGAAAAACGCCTTGCGAATTTCGCGTATCGATCGGTGACACTGATTATTCTCGTTCGATCTTTTTCTTGGCTTGGTCTCACGTGACGAGTGAGGCCAAGCGTTACAATGATAGGTTTCGACCCCCTTCTTCCGGGGACCTTGATTTTTCTTCCACCGAGGGCTTTTCATTGGTCCGCCGGTATCCCGCCTAGAGTGAGCCACGGCTGGGGGCGTGCCCTGGGCTTGGTTGCTAGTTTACATGAGTGTGCGACTACAGTAATGTCTCAACAACCTTGCTTGGTGTCTACGGTTTAGAAAAAAATGGGAAACGAACCGGGAGTCCAACTCCTCTTCCACGAGACTAAACCACCGCTGCTGTACCGGAAATCGTGCCGAGGATCGCAAGAATCAAACTTCCACAATCATCGTAAAGCCTTCTCCCCGTTGTCTAGCCTACTCAAGCATGATCTACGGTGGTGCCCTACAGGGCGTGTCGCACTCGTACCATGAGTACGTGTAAAACGTGTCCTTTTTCGCTCTCAGCAAGCTGGGGATCGGTTGGCGAGTCCTGCGCTACGTGCGGCTTTTTCGATGCCTGACCATCCCGACATGAAAGCACGAAGAGACACAGGGCCAAACACGAACAGTTCTTGTGCCCTTCTGGTTTACGATGTACCCGCATGACCTAAGGGACTTCGAAATGAAATGAAGGATTGCGCCAGGTCCAGCAAGAAAAAACCGTAGCCCTGGCGAAACTGCAAAGATGTGCCACTTGTGAACAAATGGTTCTGACCTTCCGTACATGTGGCCAGAGGTACCAGGTTCCGAGAGAGATTGAGAGCGCTCCCTACTGCGGTAACCTTAAGAGGTTGTGTGGTGCGCTTCGGAGGCCGGACGGTTCCCAAAAAATGGCGCCACGGTGATCGACGATCACGGCCGAAAAATACATCGTTCCCCAACTCATTCCTATCTGAGCGCATGCTCTGTTAAATGTAGTAATTGCACTGACACTCACGGTTTTGGTGCGGCCGGCCTTTCGTAGACCGGCTCTTTGTTCTCTGTTGTCTTCTGAGCACGAGAGGAAGAGGACGAGGCCAGGAGCGCCTGCTCACGCCGGTTAGACAGCTGTGCGGAGGCCGAGGCTACATCACGAAGGAAGCTATCTCTCGGCCCTGACTCATTATTCCCGTCAGAATCTCCCACTTGCGGAACTCCGGCATGACTTCTTGCTACGGTTCGTTCTACCTCAATATCGACTACACCAGCGAAGTGGATGGCTGCTACGAGGACACCACCACGAGCATAAACGACTTGGACGGGTACTTCCTGGACGGCGTGGAGGCTGGAGGATCATCGGTGGTATATGCCTCCCCATTTGTTCGGGATGATCATGTGAGAGAGTCATGTGAGAGAGTTGTCGGTCATGCTGACTAGTAGATTTTCGAGTCTACTTCTGGTTGGTCCATCAGTTGACGAGACACACATTTTGAGTTTTTTTGAATCAAAGCGTAGGACGCGTACACCTAGAGCACGTGGTCGCAATATCCCGACATCTACAGTAGATGACGTCGTTGCAGCCGCTACATCGTACCATTTCTGTCAGAGCTGCAGCATGCAACGTACACATGCTGTCTAGAGTCGAAATGTCACGGCGGAGGGTTGTCTTCCTCGGATATGTCTTTGCCAGCCGTCGTCCGTTGGTTTGTGGTCCGGCTCGTTGTCGGGTGATCCTTGTGTTGCTTAATTTGGCGCATATTGCGCAGAACAGAGCCACCAAGTTTTCTTTTGGTGCGCATGTCGCAAGCCATGTTGGCGTTCCCTTGTCGATCGAGCAGGTCGCCCGCCAGTGCTTCAAATTATCCCACCCTGTAATACTGTTGGCTTTCTCCAGCCGACGAACACGATATGGTCCTCGCTCGTGTTGATGAGCACGGTGCCGACACAGCATACGGTGGCCAGTCGTGACTCGGCACTTCCGGCACTTTCGTTCTGGTTACCTCCGATCAGGTGTCGGATGTCTTCACAGTATGCGGGTTTTCACGTTTGTCTGTATGGCCTCTTGTTTTGTCGTGGGAATAGGCTGGAGACGTGGGCGGACTACCTAGTAAAGCATCAGGAAATCGACCGGAGGTCTACGCTTGTGCTTTAGGCCCAACGCAAAGCGGCTTACCACGCACTGAATCGTACGTCGCGCTGTATACTTTCCCGCCGTTTCTCTACAGTTTGTCTGGGTGGTCGCCAACGTGTACGACATGGACGTGGAAGAAGGCATTTTTGATGCAGCCACAACATGTAAAGATGCCTACGAGGAGGACGCGACTACGTTGCACCCGGTGGAGGTGATCCAGTGGAACTGCTACAGCACGGCAGATGAAGACTACACCAGATTGGACGAGATAGAAATCACCTGCAGCTGCGGCACCGTCGCGGGCCTCACTTCCTCTCCTGTGTACTCTCCGATCGCCACGCCCGAGCCAACCCCTGCTCCTGTATCTCCTCCGATTGCCATGCCCGAGCCTACTCCTGCTCCCGTCGAGCCTACCCCCCTTACCCCCGCTCCCATCACCCCAACCCCAGCTCCTGTGTCCCCTCCGATCGCTACGCCCGAGCCTACGCCTGCTCCCGTCGAGCCTACCCCCCGTACCCCCGTTCCCATCACGCCCACCACAATACCTTTTCCTACCCCTGCTCCCGCCGAGCCTACGACCCCTCTCACTCCCGCCCCCATCGCCCTCGCCCCCCCAGCTCCTGCATCCCCTCCTACCACCACGCCTTCTCCTGCACCTGGTGACCAAGCCAACGCGCTCACTGCCGCTCCCATCGTCCTCTACGCGCCAGACCCTGTCGCCTCTCCGACTGCCACGCCTTTTCCTACCACTGCTCTCACCGAGTCTACTTCCCCCTTCACCCCATCACCACTCCCTGATATCACCACTACTCCGGCCACGGTGGCTTCATCTGGCGGTGGATGTAAGAATAATGACGTGGATTTTGTTCAGCAACTTAGATGCAGTTACCGTCCTCATGGAGATGTCCTATTGGCACGACCGGTTTTTTGGTGTCATCTGCGAAGTTGTGCACCCTTCGATGGAGATAGGTGATATTCAAGATTGTGTCCTCCAACAACTGCACACACTTACCCTTCTGCCTACCGGTTTCACCTTTGCGTTTGATTTCAGGGCCTTTTTTGAAACAAATATTCTCGCTATATCAGGGCGTCAGGCAACCTGCAGCAAAAGCTCATTGCATTATCACTATGGGATTGACTAGACATTGTCGTGTTCTTGAAGCAAGAAGATACCTCCTCTGAACGATTCTTCCGCGATCATGTCATGCGTCTGCTCGTTGTTTCTTCCACCAGATACGTCGACAATGAGTGTTGTAGCCGTTGCAGTCGGTGGTGGGCTGGTCGTAGGGGCGATCGCGATCTTAATCCTGCTGTTCAAGACCGGCCGTCTAAAGCATTGCAGGAATGGCAACTCACACGGCCCGTCACCGGGGGTGGGCCAAATACCTGCTGCTGCCGGTCCTTCTGCCATGGAAAGTGCCAGGCGGGGCATGCAGCTTCCGGCCGCAATCCAGTACCCTGAGGCTCTGCGCGCATAGCCTCGACGATTCCGCGATCGTGTTATCCCTCAGCAAAACCTTCGCTCGTGCTTCGGTTTTCTTTCAACCGGATATGACGGTTAGGGTGTTGTTGCCGGTGCGGTGGTGGCCGGGTTGGTCGTCGTAGAGGCGATCGCGACGATATTGTTTTCAAGATTGGTCGGGGAAAGACTGGCTACCTGCTATGGCCAGGAGGACCCCTCAGCTTCCAGCCATGGACAGTACGCTGACGCCCTGGATACGGCACACCCGACGCCTACCTCAGCAGATAGGTTGCCCAAGGCGGCAGAACCTTGTAGGGTGCCGTCTTCTTGCAGCAGTGGACGTTCACCCACCTAGGTAGTTGAGGGGAAGGGGTTCGAGCATTGCTTCGGTTTGTAGTCATGCCACGACGTCAAATAATACCACAACGGCGGTGACTCTACCCGCTGTTGAGAACTGTCGAGTGGTGTCGTTACGATAGTCTCGAGTGTGTAGCACATCGCGACGTAGGAAGTCACGTCTCTTTTGCCTTTTTTTGCATCCAAGGCGTTAAAAACGGATGCAAATGTCGCTTCGAGCATGGATACGCACATGCTACTGGTTATGCCAACCCGAGCCTTTGCTGGCAAGGATCACTTCGCGTTGACGGTGTCTTGGTTGAAACATGTATCGTCAAGTCATTCGCAGACCTAGCGCTCGCTTTAGACTCAAGGTTATCATAAGTTTCGGTCTTATTCGGGTCATCGGAAAACACTTGCACATGGAGGAGTCGCGATATCGTCATGTCGGCAGCGCACTTTCTTTCCCGTGGACGAATCAGTACATGCATGTTCGGGTTGTTCGTAACATACTTATGAGGTACTTGCTGGGCTTCAGGAGGACGGCTCGCCAAAAAGGCGTTTCACTCCAACTGATCACTCCCTCTCTTTCACTCTTCACACCCCGCTCCCGCCCCTTGTAGGACGATTTGCTACAGGCTACAGGCCCTTGGTCTCTTTCCCGCAGGGATTCTCCGGCAGATGGAATCTCTTCAGTCTACCCGCTCACCTCCAGATTCCCTCCCTCGCCTCAGAAACGCCATTTCAACATATCTTGACTATGCAGCACATGTTTACATGACCGGTGACCGCTGGAAATCGTTCGTGCCGGCCCAAGATCCCGCACTCCAAAAACAATCGATCAGCACTAAAGGAGTAGTTCATCGAGCGAAGTGTTGCCGAAGATGCAATCAGGGGTTTCCAGGGGATACTTCGGCATTTTTCGTGACTCCCTGAACTCGAACGGAGAGATAGCAAATGACACCTCATCATGTAAATTCAGTGTGAAACGGGATGTGTAAATGGACCTGGCAAGAGGATATCGAATCGCCAAGCAAGAGCATGTTGGCCTCCGCCATGGATGTCTTATCACATCACAAACCGTATAGCTGCGACTCCCCGTTGCCTGGTCACACGCACGAACGTGTCCCATGGCAGCCGTGGGTAGGTTGGGTCGCGTTGTGTATACGGTGTTTTTTGGGACCTTCACTGCCGACCAGAGATGGTTAAGGGTAGGTTGGGGCATCGACTATGGGGGGGGAGGGTGCAGGGACGATGCAGCCCGACGTGTTCCAAGTTATCCCGTTTCTCGGATAGTGGCGTTATTCCAACCACCACGGCGGGCTGCAAGCATAAAGAAATGGATTCAAGGTCGAACTCGGCTTCCTAACCTCGGACCCCCAAGTTGTAGATCGTGGGCAACCTGCACCTCTGGCCAGGAGTGTTCACACGTAATGTCAAACATAGAACTCCCGCTCAACCGTGTACTTCAGCACCTGCCTGTACGTCGCATCTTGCGGTGCAGTGGTACGAACCGCCCACAGAGGCAGGTCACCGTAGGTAGCCGTCGTGTATCGGGTCATCGGTATAATGGTAGCCAATGCGATTAGTCTACCAGTCAATTTACCGTTGTATCGTCTAAGTATATGGAGCCCATGCACAAGTCAAGTCCGTGAATAGTCTATTGCATCGGTCTGTCCTTAACGTCCTTGAGTGCGTGTACTCCTAGTCGATTTTCAGGAGGACGGCTCGCCTAAATGGCGTGCAATCGTACAAACGTCAACCCTCGGGGTGCAACCACACCAATCATCGACATGCGGGTTGTTCGGGAATCGATGTGCCTTGCCCCCCACTTAGTCAATCACTTTCTCACTTCCAGGGCCGTTTTGCTACAGGTCCTTGGCCTCCTTTTCACAGGGAGTCTACGGACTCTCTTCGAGTCGGTGTACTTTGGCCCGAATGCCTTTCTTGGCCGCATCAACGCCATTTCAGAGCATCAGCCATTTCAATGTATCTTGACTCTGCAACGTGTGACCATGCGAACTTGTTTGATTCAGTATTTCACCCTGATATCCATGTTGATCTTTCCTGCGTGCGGTTGCAACACAACCAACCACCAGCAGACCCAAGTATTGCTGAGGCGATCGACTTTCGAATTCCCCTGCTTGAGTACCCTCGGGGTCCTAGATGTCGTTTGACTACCCCCGGTCCCTCATTCCTTCGTATCGCAGTCTTATTGTGGTCCGGATCCGCCGTGTTGGGGATTGCATCAAAGTCACGTCACTCTGTGTTGGCTGAGCGGTGCACCTTCTCAAACTTCGGCGTGTGGAACCTAAAATTTCATCTCAGGGCAGTCACACGCATTTGGATTTGTTGTCATATTGTTATTGATAGGCCTTTTGCCAAGCGGCGCGGTAAGCGAATATTCGCCGGGGGTACGCGTGCGCTCGTCGCATTCATTACTTCATTCCTTCATCGTTCAGTCACATGTGCGTAGGAACCAAGATAAAACCGTTAGTGGTTTGATTTCGGCTTCGATAAAAGTTAGTCGTGGGGCTCGTGAGCCCCGTCACTTTCACGTCCGAGGAGGGTGACTCCCCTTGCCACTGCTACGATCCGTACAATGTTTGTTTCGCTTCATATCACTCGCCACCCACATCCTGCAGCGCTGACTAGTCTAATGGTTTGATTTCGGCGTCTTCTCTAGTGCGGTGAAAGAACGGCTAATCCTTCTCAAGAAGAAGACAAAAATAATGGCAAGCACGAAAGGTTTGTAAGTTTTAGTGTGTGTTGGCGTCGCCCTTCTGTGGACTTCAGTCTCTGCCTCATCAGTGTTGTCATTACTTATTTCTGCAGCATAATGCAGCACCGGTGGGTCACACCAAACACAACACAACAAACAAGCTGGCAGGTGAGCAGAGCGTGTACGCATTGCACAAGACTTGACGAGGCGGATTTTCTAAGCTCGATTTCTCCACAGCAGAAACAGAGGCGGTGCCGAAAACGGCGGTGTTGGACCCGTCTCGTCCAGAGCATTCCGAAAACGTATCGTTCGACATGCATCCTCCTCGTTTGAAATGATCGAAATAATCTATGTACAATAGATTGCGGTCCATCCAGGGGGTGTGGTATCTTGTGTCGTTCACCTATGGTATTCTCCGTGTGGCCCCTCGTCAACGGCCATTTGGGATCAGACCACAATCCTAGTCTCTTTTTGTCCTCGCTCTCTTCCATTTTTTATTTTCTTAATATCACACAATCTTCCATTTTGTTTCTATTTCCTCACTGGCTGTTTCCTTCTATTTTGGTCTCTTTTGTCTGTTTTCTCCTTTTTTTTTTCTTAATATCATGTTAAGGAGTGTTGCTGTATGGCACAGAAAGGGTACACAGTCGGTCTAGATTAAGATGGGGGACGTCAGGAGGTATACCCTCTTAGGACGTAC